GCTATACACCCATTTTACTTTCACTAACCTATTAACTTTACAGCTACATGTTGTAAGTCACTAAACTGATTGTTGCAAGCAATAAAAAATGCATATACATTAAAACTGATGGAAGATCTTGATTTGACAACAATGTTTAATCATACATAAATTGTGTCGACAAAATATTGATACTAATGTATTTAGTTTCATTTTAAATTTGGTTGCATGGCCAACAGGTTAGAGCAGCATTGATGTTTACACACTTGACCTCTAAAATCAGTTGCCTGGGTGTACAGCGATGGTAATTGCACACCCCTACATGTTATTTTTTTATTATTATTATTACCATATAATCCCTATTAACCACCCCGGGCGCTTAGAAAATTGCAAAAAGGGGGCGGTTGTTTTGGTATTCTTGTTATAATATTTAATGTCATATTTTAACTCCAAAAATCTTTTGAAAAAAAAGAATAAATTCAGGGAATCACTAAAAGATTCCCTAACTTTCATTTAAGTTAAGATAATCTACCCAAATTATGCTAAATTATTCATTTTCCAACTGAGAAATTAGAGAATAGACAAGGAGAACAAATTTTGTTCGTAACTTTCACTTTCAGAAATACATAATGATTAGGTCATTCAAAAAAATCTCACACTTTCAGGAATATTTTAGGTACGAGTTTCCCAATTACCAAGTTTCATTTTCACTTTCTTCAAATTATTATAGTGATTTTAATCACTGTACGGGGGGGGGGGGGGGGGGGGCTTATTTCCTGACATTTGAAGAAAACCTAGGGAGCGCTTATAGAGGCAGGGGCGGTTAATTGGGATTTTACGGTATTATTATTTTTGTCTTTGTTAATAAGTTTGAATGTTATATATTATATCAATTTCTGATGGAGGATTGATGGATAGATAGATAGATGATAGGTACACTGTGTACACAGGGGGTAAACATATAAAAAAAAATTAACAAACATTTTCTTGATCATTATTCATAAGCTTTTAGTCTTTAAAAATATTTTGGATAAATGATTAAATGAGTATGTGGTCTATATATATTTTTAAATTCAAGGAAATACATGGAATCTCCGACGTAAAACTCCTTTATTATTCCCTGGTAAGTTTCAAGTTCAGAGACTTTAATTGAATCTGTCCAAGTGAAACAATATGCATTAGTTTTACTTGAAATAAATGAAAATATAAAATTGTGCTTAATCCTGCTTAAGAGTAATGTTTTTATTCTTCACAGATCCTGGACCTGCAAAATGCAGAAGAAGGTTATTCCAAGCAGCAAAAGGTTCGTGTTTATGTACTTTTATGATAAAAATAAAATTAATGAACTTGAAATATCTTTGATCATCAAAATGGTTAAATAGGAACATGTATTTATACATATATTATCTATAATTATGGTGTTTCTAATTGCAGGTCAGCATCAGAGCGCAGAGGCTTTGGTGGAAATGCTCCTAGGAAATACAAATGATGTTCAGGAATTCAAGAGATACAAGCGGCTCATAAAACATAATCACAAAGACAAGTCAATCTCAGCTTCATTTGATAGATCTCCAGCTAAAGTACAAACACAAGTGAGCAAGAGACAAAGACAATTAAAGGGGAAGTTGGAGAAATTGTCAAATGACAATACGGTAGAAAAGGAACAATTGAAATTACTTAAGGAGAATGCTGAATCTCTTTTATGTCATTGGGGCATTTATTACTATTAAGACTTTCAAAGATGGAATTTAAAAAAAAATACAATTAAATTCAGAGTTGTGTTACTATCAATACCAAACATGAATAAAATTTAACCATGTTTTCCCTTTTTTCTCTAGTTATATATTAATAAAAAAAAAATGTGTAATCTAGATACATTTTTTAATAAGGCTACTGCATAATTCTTAGATTTGACCTTAAACATGATTGAAATTAGGATATCTAATAGTGAAACTGGAATTACTTACTTCTGGAAAGATACTGATTAGGTGTGCATGAAAGATATGTATATATACACATGAATATCATTCAATGTATATTAGGCCAAAAGAAAACATACATGTTTCGGATTACTTGATCCACTGTATTTTTTTTCTTCAGCCAAATTCCCTACCCTAATATTATGAGCTTCTGTATGTACAACTGTCTCGTTTTCTTGAAACAAAATTGAAATGGTGGCACACTGAAGTATGACAATATGTGTCTGGGTTCATTGTCATGATTGTTGTTTCATGTTGTAAATCATAAATCATCCTTTCTAAACAGGAAGATGCAAGGAACTGACATTTGAGAACAATCATTTTTCATAAGAAACATATGTCTGCCTTTTTTTGGAGAGGGATTGGGTGGGATGAAATACCTGTAATTAAAACTAAACGATGTCCTTTTGAATTTCACATGCCATATGGTTCGCTGAGTATTGATTTTTCTCTAGGTAAATTTGAATTAGAATTTAATTACACAACTGGAATTCATATCCATTAAATATTTATGAACTTTTAAATTTTTTAAACTTTAAATTAACACAGAAAAAGGATTAAGACATCTATGCATCCTCAGCCAATTTCTACTTCTGACGAGACAGGCATGCTACCTCCCCTAATTTAAAATTTCATGTAACACACATATTTCTTAAACAACTATATTGAAAAAAAAAATCTTGGGTTAATGATCTCCAAAAAAATGTAAAAATTCCAAGTGCGTATTTCTGAAGTATTTTACGCTGGATATCTTGAATCCTCGGATATCTCGAAGTATTTTCTTGGTCCCTTGAAGTTTGAGATAACAAGGTTTGAGTGCAGATTTAAAAAGGAAAAATTGGAATTTTCTTGTCACATGCATTTGGTAACTAAATCAGGTGATAATTTATTTGAATATGAAGTCTTTTACTAACATTTTAAACAATTTGGTACAAACATTGTAATCAATATCCACAAGATTTTCAATTTTACATAAAGTCAGGCACACAAGTGCCTATATGCAGCAACGCAAGTGTACACATCATTAAAAAAAATACAGAAGAATTATTATGAAAAAAATTACCATCCAGAAAATGTTAGTGATTCAAGTTACTACAAAATTAAATCTGAAAGCCCCCCTTAAAAAATAAAATAAAATATAAATTAAATCATTCATATTTGTACCCTAATTAATTGCTATGTGAAAAGTTGATAATTGGTAGTTCTTAAGATCTCTGATGAAAAAAGAAATAAAATTCATCATGATAGCTTGATGCATTTTGAATGTAAACAGCTGTTCCTCTTTGTGTGTATATTAAACAAAGCATAATAACACAAACTGTTATAATTTCTTCTCATTCACTGAAATAATTTTTTGTAACTATAAACAATTTGTACTTAACATGAAACGGAAAAGCTAAAAAACATACGATGCTTGCACAAGTTGTCTTCGGTAGCCTGGTTTTCAACAAAACACATGGTCGTGCTTTCCTAGCATTATGAAGCAAAGATATGCATATCAAACTTTAAATTCCACTTTCCAGAAAGGGCACGTTAAAGTAAAGTTAGTGTCTATCCCTGGTAAACAATTTAACAAGTTGCAATAAACACGAAACAGAGTAGATAAGCTAATATCTACACACGATTCACCTTGCTAAAATAGGTAGCCTTGTTTTAAGCTATAACATGTGGTTTGGATGTTTCTTTCAAAAACAAAAGTAATAAAGCAAATGCGAACAAATTACTAACCGTTTTCAGCCAGAGGTCCAAATGATACAACATCTTAAAAATGTATATACCGATGACAAATCCTTGCTGGGTGATAAACTGATAAAAAGACAGGTTCACATATCACACGTCTTTCCAGCTTCCATGACTGCTGTCAAGCGCTACTGCGACGCTGACACCCAATCAAACGACAACACAACAGTTAAATTTTGAATACAGAACTGAATAATTCAGATTGAAAACAAATGAAAGAAATTTAAAAAACATGATTTTATTTTTTAAAAACAAAAAAAATATATTTGATCGATTAAATCACATAAACTTTAGGATTCATGCAAATCACTCATAAGTGGGCGTGGCTTCCTGTCAAAAGCTTTGTTACGTCATTTTTCATTTGCATGGGAACGCCCATAACTCGCCTTAACTCACTTGTGAAGAGAAAATGACCCAATACAGCGTACCGATATGATATGTAAATATATAAAAATGACCTAAATTGTCCGCCATATTTAAGTGAACCAGTTACAAAAAATGCCAGATAAAAATGTAGAATTATGCAAAACATACATAATGTTTACTAATGATATTTAGCGTATACGATATTTAAAAGTTCATAAATCCATTTATGATTACAAATTAATAAAGCAACAAAACTTACACCATGAGAGGACAAGACAAGCAAACTATTTGTAAACATGTGTATTGTTGACTTGGGCGGAAACAAACGCTTAAAAAGAAAATCAAAACCGGGGACGGATAATTCCGGACACTACACTTCCCCTCTGATTTCTACTAGAAATATTTTTTTTAAAAACAAATTCAACTAAAAAATACAATGTACTCATATCTAGTTTACATTACAATCTTAAACATACAAACACTTAACCTTAAGTGCATGATTAACCTCCAAAAGGGTGACAAGTACTGATATAGGTATCACAAAAGTAGAGCGTGTACCATCCTTCACAACAAATATCTCAACTTTTCGGATGCAGCCATCATCGCTTGGAAATGTCTTTTTTACAATGCCCGTAGGCCAGTCATTTCGCGCACTGCCACTGTCTTTCATCAAGATGACATCACCAGTCTTCAAGTTTGAACGTGCTTCTTTCCACTTCTGACGCATTTGAAGGGTATGTATATATTCTGTTCTCCACCTCTTCCAAATTTCATCTCCAAATAACTGCACTTGCTTCCAATGCACACGTATGTCTTTTGGTCCAAACTCTGGGAAGGGACGAATATCCAATGCGGTCTTCATTGTTAGCAAGGTAGACGGTGTGAGCAAACATGGAGACTCTAGATCTGTTGACACGGGTAAAAGAGGTTTATTGTTTACAATAGCTGTAACCTTGCCATGAAAGTTACCAAGACATCGTGGTTAAGTTCGACTCGATTCTGTAGTAACATAGAGTCAAGTACTCTGCGGGACACTCCTATAAAACGTTCCCATGCTACCCCCATGTGGGAGGCATGGGGTGGGTTAAATACCCAAGAAGTTCCTGAATTAGAGAGAAACGTCCCAACTGGTCCTTTTTCCACAAACTCAGCATTGATGGACAGGTCCTGTGTTGCCCCAATGAAATTGGTTCCCCGGTCTGACCTTAACTGTATCACTGGACCTCTAATGGCAACGAATCCCCTCAATGCGTTAATAAATGCTGCGCTTGATAACTCTTCGATGACTTCGATATGTACTGCTCGGGTCACCATACAAGTAAATAACAAAGCCCAACGTTTTTGATTGGCTGAACTTCCTCTGGTCCTCCTGTGAACAATTGCCCACTGTCCAAATGTGTCCACACCAACGTATGACAATGGAGTACTAGGTGTCACTCTGTCTACTGGTAAGCATGCCATCTGTTGCCATCCAAGTTTTCCTCTAAGCTTGCGGCATATAACACACTTGTTGATTTCAGATGAAATCATACACTTGGACCCCACTATCCAAAATCCAAGAGCTCGCACCGCTCCATCAGTGAAGTGTCGACCCTGATGTGAAACTTTGCAATTAAAATGGTAAATAAGAAGCTTGGCCAGGTGGTGGTCCTTAGGGATGATTATCGGATGTTTGGATAAGTGGTCCTTAGGGATGATTATCGGATGTTTGGATAAGTTGTCAACAATGCTGTTGCCCTTTAACCTCCCGCCAACACGTAAGAGACCATCTGGACCTAGCACTGGAGACAAGGATAAGATTGAGCTTCTGTTCAGTAATCTTCCTTTTCTAATGGCTTGAATCTCTGGGCCAAAGGTTTCCTTCTGAACTGTCTGAATAATGAAGTGTTCTGTTTCTGAGACGATATCTGTGTCGTAAATTTTCCCACCTGTATTGGAAGTCTTCACACCCTTGTACTTCCTAATGAAGGTCTTTAAATAAGCTATTGCTCGCACAAGTTTTCTCCAGTCTGAAAACCTTGTAAAATTGGAAACTCCAAGCATGGACTTCCTGTCTTGCAACTCCTCTGTTTTGAAGCACCTTACTTCTGGTTGCAACTCTTTATCTATCTCTGGGTTGATGAGAGGGTAATAGTCTAGAGCAGATGTGGAATGGGATTCTGCTGACAGGTCTGGTCCTTTGATCCACATACTGTCTGCTAGTTGAGATGCTTTCACACTTCTTGTAGCAACATCTGCTGAGTTGAGTTCAGATGCTATGTAATTCCAGTGCGAGGGCTGACTTGACATTCTGATGCGACTCACTCGATTTGCTACATAAATGTAGAACCTTCTATTCTCATTTGTTATGTACCCAAGTACCACTTGACTGTCGGAATAGAAAGAAAAATGTTTTCTATCTATCTTCAACTGTTCATGGATGACATCTGCCAACTGAACTGCCAAAACCGCAGCACATAATTCGAGTCTAGGCACTGTATTCCCACTAAATGGCGCAACCTTTGCTTTTCCCAAGAGAAAACTTGTTGTGCAGGAATCTGGACTCATGCCATACAACTTCAAGAATGCCACGGCTGCGATGGCTTCTTTAGATGCATCTGCAAAGATATGCACCTCTCTCTTCTGGGCGCCCTCAAATGACTGAGAACTGTTCTGTCTGGGAATCTGGAACTCCTCTAACTCTGGCAACGATTGTACCCAGGATTTCCATTCCTTGTAGAGAGAGTCAGGTAAGGGATCATCCCAGTCCAATTTTGATGGGGAGGAGACCATGTTTCTCAGCAGTATTTTGCCCCTGATTATAACTGGTTGAGCAAAACCTATCGGATCGTAGATACTATTGATGATGGATAATGCTCCACGCTTGGTAAAAGGTTTCTGCTCATCTGACACCTTAAACAAAAAGACTTCTGAGTCTGTATCCCATAAAAGTCCTAAACTTCTCTGTAGTGGTAGTGACGCTGCACCGAGGTCAAGGTATTTCAGGTTCTTGGTGAGGTCATTTGATGGAAATGAATCGAGAAGTGTTCTGCTATTCGATGCGAATTTGTGAAGTCTTAACTCCCCTCCTTCATTAAGCGCGTCCTTTGCCCTATGTACAAGGCTTACATGTATGGCTTCTTCCTCACTGAAACATGACAATAGACCATCGTCAACATAAAAAATATTGTTTATGAGATCTTTGAGGTCTTCACTGGATGATTCTACTGATTTTCGCAGACCATAAGTGGTGACGGAGGGTGAGGGGCTATTCCCAAAGACGTGCACTGTCATACGGAAGGTAGTAAGTGGGCGGTTGAAATCATTATCCTCGTGCCACAAAAATCTCAAAAAGTCTCTCTGTTCTGGGCTCACTTTGAAGTTATAGAACATTTGTTCCACATCCATTGTTACTGCTACTGCTTCCTTTCTGAATCGCTTCAAGATTCCTAGCAAGCTATTGCTAAGGTCGGGTCCTTTGAGAAGCACATCATTTAGAGATACATCACAGAATTTGGCAGATGAATCAAAATCCATTCTTATGCTGTCTGGCTTTTTGGGATGGTATACTCCAAGGAGCGGAAGATACCAGCATTCGTTTCCTTCATCCAAATCTGGGGCCTTTTCTGTATGGTTATTAACAAATAACTTCTGCATAAAGTCAATCACATGCTCGCGTTTTTGTTCATTGTGCTTCAAACTTGCATCAAAGGATCTGGCACGCCGTTCAGCTGCTTCCTTGTTGTTTGGCAAGGTTTTCCTGGTAGATCGAAAAGGGAGTGGAGCCACCCACTGACCTTGATCTGTCTTCTGTATTCCAAAACCTATAATACCTATAAAACCTATAATATTGAGAAGGTCTTTATCCTCAACTAATAATCCTGGCTTCTCATCCTGATCAGTTCTTCTAAAAATTGAGTCAAAGTCAATCTTAATCTCACTATCACAAGGAATCATCATGGTGGGACGTCCATTACTCAGAACAGTGGTTTTGTTGAGGTCTTTATCCTCAACTAATAATCCTGGCTTCTCATCCTGATCAGTTCTTCTAAAAATTGAGTCAAAGTCAATCTTAATCTCACTATCACAAGGAATCATCATGGTGGGACGTCCATTACTTAGAACAGTGGTTTTGTTGACGTTGACAATGTCTGGGCTATGTACCGTTCCGAGGCAGACATTTCCGATGATAACCCATCCAAGTGGCAGTTGTTATCCATAAGGTAAGTTATCCTTCTCGATGCTGTGGTCTAACACATAATGTGTAATAATGAGGTCACGACCGATCAGTAACTCAATGTCTATACATTCATCTAGGTGGTATGAGATGTGCAATGTCGTTCAGGTGGGGAAAAGATTGTGCCACTCCAGGTGATGGGATTTCTTCTCTATTATTCGGGATATCATTGCACTCTATCAAATCAGGCAGCTGCAAAGTACATGTTCCATCAATAGATTCCACCATGTATCCCGAGGCTCTGCGTTCAGCTGTATTGAATTTACCAGCACAAGATGATAGGACATATTCCATTTCACTTCCACATTCTCCAAAGGCGTTTAAGAACTGTGAGACTGCAAGGGATCGATTACTTTGTTCGTCTATCATACAATGGAGTTCTCTAGACAAGTTCTTTCTTCCTTGGGGGTACACTCTCACTAAAATTATCTTGGCACATGATTTTGATGTGTTTCCTCGAGTGTTACATATTTTTGTATACTTGTTCGTTACACTCACTTCTTGAATGAATTTCTCCCCCTCGTGATCTTTCACAGAAGACCTTTGTAAGTCTGGATGAAGTGCTGATGGGTGCTTGGAAGAGTTACAAACATCACACTTCACAGTCATTTTACAGTTTGATTGGAAATGTTTCTTTGGTCCGCAGCACTTGAAACTGAAGCCATTTTCTCTGATGAAATCTTTCCTTTCTTGTAGTGACCTAATGCGAAATTGCCTACACGCATTGAGTGTATGGTTGGTGCCATGCACTGGACAGCTTTTTGTGGTCACATCTGTTTTCCTTGAGGACACTTGCGTCTTGATATAACTTGTTTTTCTGACATGTTTACATCCATCACTCTGCTGCGCACTTTCAGTAGTTTCATATATGAAACTAGGGTCATTGCGTATCTTTGCAATGTTATTCACAAATGCAGAAAAGACAGAAAATGGCTGATAGGTCCATTATTTATCTGTTTATACTTTTAGCTTCATATGTCCACTTCTCCTGAATGCTTGGGGGTAATGTTATGACAATCGGGTTTATGCCACCTGAGGAGTCGTAATATGAGAAGAGTTTTGCATACTTTTCATTTTGCATGATTGACCCAATCTCCATACGAATGTCTGCGAGTTCAAAAAGTTCACTTCTGTTTGAGTTCTTTAAGGTAGGAAAAGCTGCGACTCTGTTCTTCAGTGATGATTCAATGCTCTCTGGACTCCCAAATTTTGAATCCAATCTTTCCCATATCAGACGCAATGCTCTGGAGGGGTCATGGGGATTTGCTAAACGAATGTTGAGAGCCTGCTGTTTAGACTTCGTTCCAAGGTTCTGGATCAAGAGGTCAAGTTTTTCCATAACAGAAGCACCCAGTTCATTTGTCACATTTTCAAATGTAGATTTCCAGCCGAGGTAATGTCCTGGGACGTCATCAAATGCAGTTAATCTTGTTGGTATAAGTTGCTTTTTGGCCAACAACTTAGCAAGTTCATTTGTTTCACTTATAACACTTTTCTCCTGTTGAACAACAACAAACTCTGGAGCAGTTGGGTTCAGAGGTTTCTGCGGTTTTTCCTCTGGTGTCTGTGGAATACAATGAACTTGAACTGAGCACTCACTGTTGTAGTTGTTTACAGGTTCTCTTGGTCTTTCTGAAGATTCACAAATATTAGTGTGTTCACTTGTGTTAGTGTTCAGAAGTTCTCTTGGCTTCTCTCTATATTCACAATGATCCTGATATTTGGACGGTTCAACTGTGTAAGTATTGTCTGTTTGATACGGATCATCTTCACCTAGGTCATTTTCACAGGGTGGTATGTAGCTTTCTCCAAGAGAGTCATATTCAAGACATTTCTTTATTGTAGTCAAACTTGACTGGGCTGCCTCAAACTCTTTCTTAACCGTGAGTAGACACCGGGCTGCCTTAATCTCTGTTCTCTTCTCATCAAATCCGCTTCTTCTTTAGCGTATTTCAGTTTCCTTCGTGCTTCCTCAAACTTTGCTGTATGTTGCAGCACTACAGATGTGAGACGTGAGGATGAGGACCCTTGACTGTATGCGGACTTCTGCGATCTTGTATTAGGTAGTATGGTTCAACACTGATGTACTTTTTCTTGTAATGCAGTTGCGATGAGGGACCTGGAGGCTTCCTCTCTCGTACTGGCTTCGTGGCGTTGACTTTGTAAATATGCTACATATTCCGAAGAGGCCTTTTCATATTGCAACAAGTATTTATTCAATGAAGTTTTGCATGTCTTTGCACGCTCGAGATTCATGACTGGGTTTTCTTCCATATCCATGAGGATGGAATCAATGTCTATCTTGACGTTTCCTAGCTTGAATACGTGCCTGTTAACTTTTTCCTCGAACTGTTCCATGGCAGCTAAGGCAATGTTGCGGGATTTCCTTAATGCCTGAGCATCTACCATGATGGTGAGTCTGTATCCAAGCAATGGTTTTTTTACTGTGAAGTTATGCTTTATTCGCAGACCTCTCGGAAGAGGGTAAAAAACTACAAACAAATGACACACATTTAGACACAATCAATACATAAGTTTCACAATAAATTGTACTGACAATTAGATTTGTAGCTGTAGTTATCAATTATTAACAGGCTTTATGAAGAGAAAATGACACAATACAGCGTACCGATATGATATGTAAATATATATAAAAATGACCTAAATTGTCCGCCATATTTAAGTGAACCAGTTACAAAAAATAGCAGATAAAAATGTAGAATTATGCAAAACATACATAATGTTTACCAATGACATTTAGCGTATACGATATTTAAACGTTTATAAATCAATTTATGATTACAAATTAAATAAAGCAACAAAACTTACACCATGAAAGGACAAGACAAGCAAACTATTTGTAAACATGTGTATTGTTGACTTGGGCGGACACAAACATTTAAAAATAAAATCAAAACCGGGGACGGATAATTCCGGACACTATACAACCGAACTGTAACAAGAGGACGGTAATAGAGTTTGCATTTTAAACGTGCAGGCGAAACTTTGAAATACGTTTTATTCAAAGGATCGAATTTAATGCATCCAACCTAATGGATAAATGTAATTACATGTATAAAGACTTTCCTCTGGATCGTTTCGTTTTAACATGACTTGAAATGTAGTTATTGAAAAATGACCTAAACCTACATGTAAGCACTACCACTCACTTCCTTGTCCCTTTTTGTTGATTATATCACCTTAGAGCTATACATGTTTAATGATGGTCAAGGCGATTTCTGATGACGCGTTTCAATATAAAGCACTTAAAAGTCTGGAAAATTATTTTGTAATGTCTGAAAATGAAAAAAAAAAAAAAATAAAAGAAAGGCCATTTTATGTGCGGGCATAAAAATGATCTACTTCTCAATACCAAAGCAAACACATGATCTACTTCTCAATACCAAAGCAAACACATGTAGTTCAGACATCACACGTCTATAGATATGAGATTATATTACGGGGTGAATTTGTCCGTCAAATTCTTATTCTAATTCTGGGCCAACCGTGAGTTTTCCTCTTATTGTTGAACCCAGATTCATAATACCTCCAATAAGCCAACACGCGTTATAGTTTTAATACTTTTATATAAAATCAGCATGGAATATACTTTTACATGAGTTTGGGATGTATCAGCATCGGATATCTGATTCCAACTGACTATAATATTGTAACAACAAAACATGCATACTGAACAAAGATAGGACAAAATAGAAGGAATAACAAGAAAGTATAAAGAAATCAATTATCAAACAATTATTGAGCAAATGGTGACATTTTCTTGTATATAATAGAATTAAAGATGATGAAAGATTAACTGTCAATCAATGTAAACAGAAGTCAATTAAGGGATTAACTGTCCATCCCTGACTGTGCCTCAGGCAGGATTAAAGATGTGCGGAATTTATCACATTTGCCGGAATATATAAACAGTTTTTATAACAGTTTACACGAAGTCCGAAAATGTAATTTACACAGTAATTTATAAGTCTGAAAAGTCGTATTTTACACCGTAACAATTAAAATAACATACCTACCATAAGTTCACATTCAAATCATAAATATGTAGATCAAACTCAACATACCTACATGTAGATCAAACTCAATATACCCACATGTAGATCAAACTCAACATACCTACATGTAGATCAAACTCAACATACCTACCTGTAGATCAAACTCAACATACTAGTACCTACATGTACTCAACATACCTACATGTAGATCAAACTCAACATACCTACATGTAGATCAAACTCAACATACCTACATGTAGATCAAACTCAACATACTAGTACCTACATGTAGATCAAACTCAACATACTAGTACCTACATGTAGATCAAACTCAACATACCTACTGTACAACAACAAACTCAACAACTCAACAAACTCACATGTAGTCTTATTGTAGATCAAACTCTGTCATAATTCAAACTAATCTCACCTACGTACAGACCAGACTCAAAGCATTTTCATTAAAAGCAGACTCAAATCACTTAATTGTAGGTCAGATCAAAAAAACGGACAGGTAGACTCAACAAACCAATATGTTGATAAGACTCAACACATCTACACATAAATGTCATTTTTAACAATTTGCTCCTGTCATATAAATGAAGTCTGCGGACATTAATTTTTTTGTATCGGGGGGGGGGGGGGGGGCTTATCAAGGAATTTAGAATTTCTAACATGTTTTCTACCTCCTTCCAAATCATTTCCAGTCCTTTTCATAACTTAAATCTTCCTTCAGACTTAGAATTGAATGCTTATTTCAAGTGTTTTACGATTTAAAAACTTTATCTCTATGGGCGTGCTTGATTTAGCTTAACTTGGTGTACACCAGTGTACACCGGTGTGAA